TCCAGCCAATTATCTACAAGTTGAAAAAAAAAATTTAAAGTATTATCATTCGACGAAATTGATTTCTATTGATGAATCAGTGATTCCATTTCATGGATAAATTATATTCCGACAATACATGAAGCAAAAGTGACACAGGGAATAAAAATTTCCGAACTAGGCTGCGGTCTCAGATATACATGCAGCTTTCATGTTTATAAAAACAAAACTTTCAGCGATGTGAATGCAACACCAAGGAATATAGTTATGAATCTATGTGAAGATGTATTCCATAAAGGCCATACCTCTGTACACAACTAGTACACAAGTGTAAATTTATCCAAAAAATTCATAAAAAAATACCCATTTGATCGGTACTCTCCAAAATAATCGCAAAGATAATCAGCGGAGCGCAATGAATTGGAAGTTTGATCTGTCAGCACTATCCTTATCTTCAGGGCAGATGTTTTTATTTTATTTGGCTTATCATTCCTTACTAAATGTAGTATTTCATCTCGATGTACTCCGTCTTTGATATGATTTAAATCAAATTCCTCGTCATTATAATTTGCTTCCGATAGTGAAGAAAGTGACACAGAGGTTATTGAAAACGAAAAAATTTTGATTGACAAATTAGTCGGTATTCTCGACACAGCAATTATAGGACTTGAACAGCGGAACTTTGTAACTGAACAAGAAATTATGTCTGTTTATAGAATTAAAGAGAAAGTATTATCACATAAAACGAAGCAACTTAAACAACTTACATTGAAAGAAATGTTTAATAAAGTAAACAAATAAATATTAAGCTTTTTTTTTTTTTTTTTTTTTTTTTTTGTAAATTTTGATACCCTTTAGATCATAATTGTTCTTTATTTCATAAATTACGGTTTCATATTTTTAATTTTATAATTTCTGCATGCCATCTTACCAGATTTAAACTGATGATCTATAATCCTGAAAAATCGATAATCCGGAATCGCCGAAGTCCCGACGAGTCCGGATTAATGACTTTTGACTGTATTAAGGCATTTTACAGTGAAGAAGGATGAGCAAATCGACACAGGTACAAAACCCTAGGTGTCACTTGGGGAAAAAAAAAAGGAAGGCAGCGCACAAAGTTAGGAGGTATTGCATTGGATGTTGTACACAAATATTAAGTTCAAAGATGTTGAAAAATTTTAATGCAAAAAGTTATAACCTTCTGTAATCAATGTACAAGCAAACATCACCCTTGTTTCCACATTTTAGAAGATTGCATTAATGTTTTTAGGTATTATATTCTTTTTCTTAAAGTATTGACCAAACAAAAACCAATATTGCCTAAATTAAATGTCTATATGGTCCAGTGAAGTGTAAATGGAATGTCTAGCTCTGGTCCATCGGGACCCACTATAGCATTAAATATATTAAACAGGGAAATATCCAGGACTCAAGTTGATAAAAGGTTGGGTTCTCTAAATCCAGCACAAATATTTTTAATTACTAATTTCAACTGTTTATCATAAGATAGAAAAATATTTTGAATGTTGATTAGTACATAGCAAAACTGCATTTATCTTTTCCAAGCAGATAATCATAAGCAGGATTTTTAATGTGCTGCTATGTTAGGGGATATTGTCATACTTTGACAATGATATTGCTCGGGAGATAATTTTTAATAGGTTTCAAAATATTTTAAAGTTTTATTTGTTTTGCAGTATTATTAACATTTATAAATAATCATTGATTTTTAATCTTCTTCCATTTCTTTGGTTACCTTCCCAGTACATCTGAATTTACATGTATTGCATTGCTAGAAAGTTTGTAAAGTGCAGTTTTATAGTACCAGTATGATACGTTTTCATTGTTCTGTTTATTTGAGAATTAAGTTCAAATATCTCTTACTTTTATACATACAAAGAAAAGAAAGAAATTAATCTGTAAGCATACAGTGGATTTTATTATTATTTCATTTAATGTTGGAAATGCCTTATGCATATAGAATCCCAATTAAGCTACCATATTTATGTAAACTGTGCGTATCACACTATCTACAGTGTTTAATGTTATGTCCGATTTCATGCAGTCACTGTATTACCTACAAATTCTGTTGTAAAATTACTGTGTATGTTATATCTACTGTTTTTACTTGACATTAAAAAAATTGTGAAAAATAAGGCTATGTTATTTTGGGAAGCACACTTCGATATTTCTGGGAAACATTTCACAGACTGTTAAATATAGCAGCTCTAATCCCAAACTGCTATTGGCTGTTTAATATCAGTGTGAAATAATAAATGTTGCGACATTGTATTTAGAAAGGTATTCAAGATAGCCATCTGACTTTCAACTCGTGTGCTAATTTTATATAAAAATTATGTGTAATATTTTTAACAAGATTATTCATGAAATATATAATAACATTAAAAAAATTTTATTTATTGCCTAAAAGTCTTGACACATTTTTAAACTTAGAACTGTAATTATAAATCTTAAATTGTATTTTGCATAGTGTTTTTAAACATAAGTGTGTCTGAATTCTTTTTTAACTGTACTGTGGTATTACTTTGCTTTCTCCCTGCCTTTGTTTAATAGTTATTTATAAACATGATATTAATACATTCAGGAATATCGCTGTAAAAATTAAATTTTTACCATATTACCTTACTTTATATTTTCCAAGGCTTGTTTAAAACTTTGAGGAAAAGCATTGGCTATTCCATATACATTTTAAAAATATTATAAAAATATTTGATTAACAAAAGAATTTCTTTTGGAAATTGCCTTTAAACCCTTGAATACCCTCCCCTTCCAAAAAAAAAGGTAAGCTATATTTTCAACAATTTTTCTGTTTATCTTTGAGTAAGAATTTCAAACTTTAAAAGAGTTAATGTTACTTCCTTGTTATCATACAGATTTTGTGAATTTAATAATTATCACATATAATTCTGAGGTTAGGAAGTTGTTTTTTCAACCGTAATATTACTTCTGTGTTTTTTTGCTATTAATTATAAATTCTTAAAATTAATAAGTTGTAAAAATATGAAAGAAAATGTGTAAAGCTAAAATAAAGGCTTTCCATCATGTATAAAAATAATGCCATAAACCTTTTTTGTGTGTATTTACATACAAAACATGTTTTAATTTCTCTTTAAAATTATTTGCAGAACTTTTGTAGATTTGGAAATTTAGGCCTCATATTCTAATATCATTATGACTTAAATAAAAGTATTAAGGAATAATACTTACTTACTTGTTACTGCTGGTTAACTCATTTTCAGTAGTTTAGAAGTAATCACTGAATATCATGAAGGAATTAATCTTTACAAATGTATCTTAATCAGTGGAACTCTTTGAGAAGTTTACTTTCTTAGGTCTACCTCATTGGTTGAATGCTTTATCTTGTTCTTATCAGTTTTCTCTAGGCTGAACAGTCTCTTGGAGATATCTTGTGTATACACTTGTGTATTCTGTTTCCTATAAAAGTAGAATACTGGTTTTTCTCTTCTTAAAAAAGAAAAAAAGAGATTTTTTTTTAAATAAATTGTCAGTGAAAAACTTTTATTTGATTTATACTATTGCTTATTTCTCTTTCTCGATTTCTAAAAATAATTTTATTTATTATTAAAATATAAATATGTTTAATATTATGCTTTAAGAAACAAGATCTGATATACATATTTCTTAAATGGAAGTGAATGTGATTTTAATGTAAAGTCTTTTCTTAAAATTTAATAATTTTTTTATCAGAATCATTCTTTATCATAACACTTAAATTCTATAATTTTTTAACACTACTAAATTTTTTTAAAGCTGCATAATATTTTAATGCTTTTTAAACTGTAACCAGTCTGTAATATTACTGTTAAATATTGTTGCTTATTATGGGGGGAGGTAGGGGATCTTGCTACATCTGAATAATGAAATGTTTCCTAAAATTCAAAAGCATACTTTTGCATTTTTTTTTTTTTTTTTTTTTTTTTTTTTTTTTTTTTTGTTCAAAGAATGAAGTAGTAAAATAAAATAAAAGTCAGTGAAATACTACAGCATTTCATATATCTCATAGGTATGTTTATTTAATTTTGAAAAATCCATTTACTAATAATTAAATTAATTTTTTTAGTATTTTATCAGATAAAATATGGAAAAGTAAATTTATATTTTTGATATAAATGCCAAAAATGAGTTGTTAATTCTGAATTATTATAGTATGCAAGCTTTTGACCAAGAGGGGTGTTTTCTTTGTTCCAGTTGCAAATATCTATGCAATCATTTCTTAATACTCAGTTTAAGTGTCTGTTCATAAATTTAGTATCTGCCTTTGGCATATGTGATAATATTTAAGACCAATTTATCTAAATCAATTTACAAGATCTGTATTGTCAAACTGAAGTTGAAGTTTTATACAGATTTTATGTTTTTTTAAAAAAAGCAAAATTCAACCCTAAACTGATGTTGGGGTTTTAATTACTTTGCTTCAATAACCTATGTTTGTCCTTCAATTCCTTAAGTTTGTCTCCTCCAAAATGTGTAATTTTGTTTAGTTTCAAGTTTCAGTTAGCTTGTATGCTTCGTTATGTTTTATGTAATATTTCTATTATGAGTTTTTATATAATGTTTCTAGTAGTTTCACCTCTTACTTGCTAACTCTTGCCAACATCTAAAAACATATTCTGTGTGTTCCTCGAGCTTTCTCGGCTTGCTTTTCAAAAATTTATAAAAAAAAAAAAATAAAAAAAAAGTTTCTGCAGAAAATCCACTGATGAAGTCATAATTTGTGTTTTAAAATTTATATGAGAACAAAAACTAAGTGTTGTAGAATTAAAAACTAACTTCATCAAATGAATAAAACTATTGCAAATTATATTATTAAAGTATTATACTTTTAAAAAAATCAGCTTGTTAAACAAAATCTAAATTATTCATAAAGGACTTATTTGGACATATCCATGCTTTATTTTGTTTATTTTTTTAATTTGTATGGTCCTAAAAATGCTTCATATGTATAATTTTAAAATCATTTTTTTTTTTTCTTTCAGGCTCCTTTTGCACCACTTTCTGTGCTTGTGAAACATATCAGTGATACAACGGTAAAATATTTTTCTCTTAAAAAAAATTGTATGCATGTTTGTATCATCTGAAATATTTTTATATTATTAATTTTAAAAATTATATATTTCAGGATTTAAAGGGTCTTATGGCAAAAAAGATTATAGAACATCAGAAGAATGTTAAAAAATTCCGTGAAATGTATGGAAGTAAAGTTATTGGAGAAATAACAGTTGATCAAGTAAGTTGGGAAAGATAAAGATTAAAAGAAAAATTATATATTGATATATGTGATATTTTAAATTAATGCAACTGCATATATTTTTAAATCATCATAAATATTTGCTTAACATATAGTCACTCAAAAAAGTATTGGGACACAGTACAAGTTCCCAGTATTATCATAACATATAACTTAAATATACAAATGAAACAAAACGAAAAGAAAGAGTACATCACATTTTAATAACTCGAACAAAAATCATATAGTGATGTGTAATTTTTACAATGTAAAGTAAAAGAAGTCAGGTCAAAAAGTTATCCAAGAAAGTATTAGGATACTATCCAATTAATTAAGGGAAAAAAAAAACACAAACTTGGTGATTAATATCTTGTTGTACCACACTTGCACTTCATGACCTCTCGCTCTCGATTTGGCATGGATTTACCTAATTTTGCTGAAAATGATACATCATTGCTGGTCCACTCTTTGGTAAGATATTTTCTTAACTCCTTTTTAGAAATACGGTGTTCATTGATTTTTTGCTGTAAATAAACCTACAGATATTTAGTTGGATTAAGATCTGAATTCTGGGCAGAGTCTTAATCATACCAGGGTGCTGGTAAAAGATCCATAGTTTTTCATATGTCAGCAGTATGTTTTGGGTCATTATCCTGTTACAATTTAAAATGTCTAGATATTTCCAATTATCACTTTGCTTTAAATTTCACTTTAGAACGTTAGAATAGACCTATTTATTCATTATACCATCTATAAATTTCCTCACACCAGACCATTTGGTGGATGTCTCTATATTTCAACAGTAGATTGCACATTTTTCATATGCGCTGCTGTATTTCGCATGCACTGCTTGCCATCCAATCCAGAAATGTTATATTTGCTTTCATCCATAAAAATGACATTTTTCCAAAATACCGTTGGCTGTTTTACATACATTTTAGCAAATACCAATTTAGCCTTTCGATTTTCTTTGCTAATGTAGAGCTCTGTCCGAGGTATTCTTGCATAATGCTTATGTTTTTCTTACAACATTTTTAACAATTTCGGGATGTACATTTCCCAAGCCTACTTTTTTAGAGTCAATTTCAATGCGCTTGTGTTAATGTAAATTTGTCTCAATCCATCTTTCTTCACATTCACGAAATATTCTTGTATGCTCTAATCTTTGACTATTTTCAACCCTGTTTGCTTTCTTGAACCTGCAAATGATACTTTATTAAATTAGCAATGTGAATACAAATTCTAAAGCTGTAACAGTCACTTTTGTTTTATTGTTATTGTATTTACTATGGATAGAAAAACATGGGACTTATCTCATGAGGAAACAAGGTCTAAAAAATTTCAGGAATGAGGAATTATTTGCTCAGAATGGAAGTGCTCGATAAACCATAAAATGAATCTCTACTTCAATTCAAAGGAAGCACCAAAATAGAGATGTGAAGATATGACATGCCGGGGAAAGAATAAAAGGATTACATTTTCAAAATTGCCTTGACAGAGAATCAGTTTCTTAATGGCAGTTTGTTTCATTTATGTATAGTGTTTAGAATTAACTTCCCTTGAATTTGGTCAGTATAGACTTGATATAGATCATTGTATTGTTATTGACTGGAACAGTTAGGTAAGGTAAGTCTGTGGCCGTGCATTAATGGCTCCACCATCAGTTAAAATATGTGGCACTGTTAATGTTGTGGAAGCTGATGAAAGTCTGTTTTTGCATCGAAAGAATGATGTTGATCCTATCCTTCTTTCCCAGTGGGTGTACTGCGGAATTGCCGAGAAACATGAGAATGTTTTTATTCGTTGTGGCTACACACTCTGCCAGAACTTTGATTAAAGTTATTAAAGAAAATATTATTGATGGCACTATAATATTACTGAGTTCTAAAGGGTATAATACTGGAAAATTAACAGATGCTGAATTTGAAGATTTCTGCATTTATCTTAAATATGACTCTATTGGTCTCGATACTGGTTGTCATGCGTAAACTATTAAAAGGTTATGGAGGAGTGTGAAGTAGTGAACACCAAAATGGAGATGTGAAGATATATACCAAGTAAAAAAAAAAGATTATGTGGTCAAAATTGATTTGAAGGATTGGGAATCAGTTTTACATAACAGCAGTTCGTTTCATGCATGGTGTTTAGAATAAACTTCCAGTGAATTTTATCAGTGTCAACTTGATATGAATCGTTGCACTCTTGTTGATTGGAACATGTATATAAGGTAAGTCTGTGGCCATTAATTAATGTCTAGACTGTCAGTCAAAATAGGTGGCACTGGTATTATTGTCAAAGGTCAGAGAAGTCTGTTTTTGTTATAATAATAAAAAAAAAAAAATAAAATAAAAAAAAAAAATTCCTTCCACCCCCAGTGGGTGTGCAGCAGGATATGCCAAGAAATGAAATAATGTTTTTCAGTTGCTGTGCCTAACCGCTCTGTCAGAACTTTGCTTAAATGTTATTGATGTTACTATAAATATACTCAGACTTTTGGTAAGATTATAATGTTGGAGAATAAAAAGAAGCCATATTAGAACATTTCTTTGTTAAACATTAAATATAATTTTATTTATCCTGATACTGGTTGTCATAATTTTATGAATATCTGTTATGTTACTTTTTCCCTTGGATTTTTCTTCAACATAATTCTTTTATGAATGTTTTGGCAATTATTTTTATGCTTCGAATTTTACACCAGGTTGTCAGCTTTTGCTGATACCTGAGCTGGTCCCGATAACTTTTTCTCCTGAAACCTTGCATCTAAAATTATACTTTAAAGAATATGGTAGTAAATTAAATTTTATTTATGCGGTATGAAGAATTTCTTCAGTTCCTCATTTCAGAAGTGCTCCAATACTTTTTTTAACATCTCTTTGCATTTAAATTAAATTTAAAAGGCTAGAAAAAAATTGCAATTCTAAAATAGCAAAAAAGAAATTCTTTATACTTGATGTTTGAGCATATCTTGATGTTTTGTTTTTTGCTTTATTGTGATTCATGTTTTTAGTCTGCTTACTGTTTTTGATCTTTAATAATATACATTATGAAATTAAACTACATAAAATTATACAATCGTATGTATGATATTTTAAATTTATGTAACTGCATGTTTTTAAATTTTTATAAGCAACATATAAACAAGGAAATAAGAAATAAAATTCCAGAAATCTTGATATCAATAAAATAGAATCAATATAAGGTTATTTACTGTTTTTGATCATTAATATTATTATGATATTTTTAATATGTAAATTTAAGTTTTATAGTAACTAAAAGAAATTAATATACCAGATTTTGAAAACAGTATCTACAATCTTTAATTACTTAACCCACCAGCGGCCGAGCGGTAAAGTCGCTGAACACTGGTAGTTCAGTCCAAGGTTCGAACCCCGTGAACGGGCTGGCTGCATGGGCGTTTTTGTGGTTTTTCCCATGTGTAACGTGTATACGAGCCAGTTTCCCTTAGAAAGTCCTCCACGAAGGCATCCCTCCTCTTAGGCAGATAGCCCTCGAGGCTTTGCCATAATCACACACACACACACTTTAATTACTTAACCCTTGAATGCATGAATTTTTATTTTCAAAGTCAAAAATATATTAGAATTGATACCAAATAAAATAGGAAAAATAATTTTTAAAAATCTGAACTAAGTTATTCCAATTTTTTAAACAAATTATTAATTTTTACAAAAAAAAATTATGACAGGCAAATGTGTAATAATACATACCTTATAAACTTGTTCAAACAATTTTAAAACTTTGAATACATCACAATAACAAAAAACACAAAATCAAACACAAATGATGTCCACACCTTGCATATCAAGTCACACAATAATGACCATTACGCCATTAGTGGTGCCACCACACCGAAACTTTCAAAATTATATACGTGAACAGTATGTATCCAATTGGTTACACTATGCGGTAAGCTAAAATTTGTGTTTTGATTTTATTTACATGACTAAATATCAATATGTTGCCAAATGCAATGCTACATGCATTTAAGGTTTAATGCCAACCAAAGCATATTCTTCTTCTAATCAGAAAGTTTAGAATAAAATTATGAAAACTGTACACTGGTGAATTACTCGCATTTTCTCAAGTCTTTGTAGAATGAAAATTTGCTTAATAAAATATTTGTAATGCTTTTTTTAATTACTTAAAAGCAAAAAGTAGTATGTGTTTAACTATAGTAATCTTTTTCATTTTGAAACAACAGCAATACTTCACATAGTCTAGGTAACCAGATCCTCAAATTTCCTGAACTATTTGAAAACTGATTAATCGATGAAATAAATACATACAAAAAAGGATTACTGGTTTTAAAAAAAAAATCTTATTTTCCATTGCTTCAAATGTGGTTAATAAATTTAAATATTTGCATTTGAAATAATTTTAGAAAAAACCTTCCAAAATAATTTTGTTTTTCTAATTTTATGAAGTAAGTTTAGGAATGTATTTTTTAAGTTACTATTCCTTATTTTATTTATTTATCCGTGCATGTGCATCATAAGTCATTTTTATTTTTTAAAACTTGTAATATTGATGTCTGCATGTTTTTCTACTTTGGCTTTTTCTCCTCATTCATTTCTTTGTAGCAGTAAATTGTGTTGTTTATTTTTCTGCAAACTGTTACATTATTATGCTCAATGTAGTCATCAACTTCATAGTATGCTTTGACAAGGTTTTAGCCATTTTCAATAATTTTTTTTTATTATTATTCAGCTGTTAATATTCATGCAGGCTCTTCAATATACTCACTGTTGTTTAAGTTATCCTGCTATTGTTCTTGTGTGTCAGGTGTAGGAAACAGTTAGTCTCTAGGCCAAATGCAGCCCTTTTAATTAGTTAATCCAGCCCATTATGAAATCCTGTGCAATGATATTTTCATCTCTTTGTGGCTGATCGACATCTACTTGATTCTGCATGTAAACTATCAAAATCGGCATAGCTGTTGTTACAGTGTGTAATCGAATATATATATTCGTGACTAT